CATGAAGTTAATTTTTTGTTGAAGCTGCTTTCAGAGTGATGCAAATTGCGTTTCGGAGGTTTAAAAATATAAAAATCCCTGGGGGACAGACCTCCCTAGGTGTCTCGCGCATTCGCCGCCCGCAAAACTAGATTGTACATCCGAAAACTTTGACTAACGTACGAAAAATCCTGGATCCGCCCCTGAGTATAATGATAAAGTAGGGTGCATTAGGGCACATGCAACTTTTTTTTTGGCCTACTAAATTTGTTTTATCTTGCCACTGAGAATTCAGGGTTCGAATTAACGGTGTACATCGTTTTAGCCAAAATAGTGAAAATTGCACACCACTTTTCCAAACAATGTGCAAAATAATTGAAGAAAAAAAACAAAGAAAGTTGTGAGAAATTTTTGTTGGAGTAAAGTTTATTTTAAGAGACATATTTGTTGTTTTTCAACATTATTACGAAGGTTCCCCAGAAAAAATGCTTCTACAAAAAGTACAAATGTGTTGTAAAAGAAATATTGGTAAAAAAGTGCCATTTTGTTTATCTGGTGCTTCCACTTTTTAATGCCAAAATGTCCATGAAATTTTTAAAGGAAATTTTTGCACATCAATTTTTTGTCACTAATTCAAACCTTGAGTCTGTGCTGATGATATATGCACATTGGTTTGTTTAGTTTGTTTGAAAGAGCAATCTCTGCTGCTGGTGAAGACTTCAGATCTGACAAACTTTGGGATGCATACATTGAATGGGAAAAGGCGCAGAAACAACTTCAGAAAGTTACCGCACTCTACGACCGAGTTCTGACTGTGCCGACGCAAAATTATAGCAAGCATTGGAAAAAGTGAGTAGTGACGCCCAACTGATGTCTACGTCAAAACTATTTTTTATTTTTTGGTTGAGATTTTTGGACATTTTTTTTTAAAGTTTTGTATTGTTTAAACATTTGTTATAAAACCTATTATAGTTCAATTCCATGGGTGACACATGACATTGTCATGCCATAGTATTTGATGCCAGGAAAGCTCGGTACTCGTACTGTCTTGGTCAAATCGAGACCATGTGAGGGTCAGGGTGTAGGTATATGCTGCTGTTTCAATCCTGCTCTTTCATCGATAAAACTGTTATTATCTAGTGTGTGTTTGGGTTTTGATGGAAGATTGGTGTTTTTGTGCACAGGTTTCAAGATCATGTCAATACGAATCCCTTAGAAGACGTGCTTATGGCAGAAGAGTTGCTGAAGTTGAAGGCGGAAGTTGGTGCAGCCCCGCCTGGGTTTACAGTTGAAAGTGAGCCTGCTATTGATGCCCCACCAGGTGGGTTTATGAACAGTAACAGAACCTATCTGATGATGGTCGGTTCATACAGTTGTCTGATAATAAATAGAGTTAGTTTAGGTTTCCTCCTGTGGTAACACTGGATCAATAAGAGATGATCCTTACTGGACCTCTAGGAAGAACAGTTTAGAACTGATAGAGCTATCCAGTATAAATAAAGTTAGTTTAGTTTAGGTTTTCTCCTGTAGTATACACTGGATCAATAAGAGATGATCCTTACTGGACCTCTAGGAAGAACAGTTTAGAACTGATAGAGCTATCCAGTATAAATAAAGTTAGTTTAGTTTAGGTTTGCTCCTGTAGTAACACTGGATCAATAAGAGATGATCCTTACTGGACCTCTAGGAAGAACAGTTTTCAACTGATAGAGCTATCCAGTATAAATTAATAAGTAAAGTTAGTTTAGTTTAGGTTTGCTCCTGTAGTAACATTGGATCAATAAGAGATGATCCTTACTGGACCTCTATAGGAAGAACAGTTTAGAACTGATAGAGCTATCCAGTATAAATAAAGTTAGTTTAGTTTAGGTTTCCTCCTGTAGTAACACTGGATCAATAAGAGATGATCCTTACTGGACCTCTAGGGAGAACAGTTTAGAACATATAGAGCTATCCAGTATAAATAAAGAGTTTAGTTTAGTCTAGTCTAAACTTTATTTCCTTACTTAAGGTGGAGCTGTGCTTGTGGTCGAAGCAATTCTAAATGACGACAAGAACGGTCCAGTAAGAGTCCATCTCGAGTCCCTAGTCATGCTGGCGGCAACTGGCGATGGCCGAGAGAGGAGTGGTAAAGAGTATACAGAACTACTTATGAAGCATGGTTTTGTGGATGTCGAAGTCTACCGAGAAGGCACGCTATTGGACGGAGTGTTGGCTAGGAAACCAATGAATTAACTCCATCACATACGGGTTTTTAACTTGTAAAAATGCATTGTGCATACAGGATATTTTTGTGTGAATTATTTGCATGTCAAATAATTTTATTAAAGTATTAAATAGTTACACACCCAATTCACAACTCCGATAACAGAACGAAAGAAACTAAGCGTTACAGTTATCTATATATATAAGAGTTACACATGTACATTTTTCATTGGAATTATCTGGGCCAGTCCAAGGGCGGTTTTTTAAAATGTAGTAACTAGGCATGTGAGTTATTCAGTTGTGAATTGGATAGGAACAAACGATAGCCAAACTAAATGTAAATATTAATCTAAACCAGCCAGACTTAAAGAGTTATCATGGCTTTTGAAATTTGTGTTTGTCTGTCGATGTAAATAGCTAACTTATGCCTCAATCATCTTCAAAAGATATCATATAGTATACTATACTTAGAATTGAGTTCTAAATTAAGTCCCAATATAAAATGTAATTTATTTTTCCGTTTAGTAAAACTTTAACAATTATATATTATATAATATGTCAAGCAAATGTAAGTAGTTCTAATGCATGCAAAAACATTTTGCTAAACTTGTATGCTGTTATTTATTGCAAATATTTAGATCAAAGACAAAGCTTACTTTAAGTTATTATGTAATGAAACGCTGATTAATATAAACCATGTTCTTTTAACAAATGAAAGCTTGTTTCGCATGTCCAAGCAAGCTTTAGCCAAATTATATAGTACATATAAATCTAAACCAGCATTTTACTGTTGGATCATTTCAACTTTGTTAGTTTTAAAAGTAGCGCCCAGTCAAATAATGTAAATAAAAGCTGCGTATTAATATCGTTTCCCGGTGTTTGATTTCATTTCTGCACGCAAACTGCCGCATTCATAACATTTCGAAATATCTGAGACTCAATGTTAAGTTCACACAACGTCACTTATCTGGTAAATCTTTGTTGGCTTTGAGCGAATTTCTTGCCTTCACATATCTACGGCATTTCCTACAATATACAGTAGTAAGATAGAAATTAGTGAAACTGGTAGTTGGGATAGCCAGGTTGGAAATGTAAGGTAGGTTAGATTGTTAGGCAGGTAGGTAGGCAGGGCAGGTTCGGTAGGTTAGGTAGATTAGGTAGGTAGGCAGGTTCGGTAGGTAGGTTAGGTCAGGTTCGACAGGTTAGGTAGGTTAGATAGGTAGGTAGGTTAGGTAGGTAGGTAGGCAGGTTCGGTAGCTAGGTAGGTAGGTAGGTATAGGATGCAGGTTCGGTAGGTCGGTAGGTAGGTAGTTAGGTAGGTTAGGTCAGGTTCGGCAGGTTAGAGTTATAAACCGAGAAGGAGGTTTATAACTGATATATTGCCCCCGAGGACGCGCAGCGTCCGAGGGCAATATATCAGTTATAAACAGACTTTCGAGGTTTATAACTAACTTATATCTCATTTGTGGGGGTTTTCTAACATATTTTGTCATTTTCAAAAATTTTTGATGAAAAATTCTCGCGTTTAGTCGTAATTATGTATGATGTAATTATTTATTCAAGGTATATTAGCTAGTTATAAACCTCGGACGATCAAAGAAAACCGACACAAATGAGATATAAGGTAGGTTAGATAGGTAGGTAGGCAGGTTCGGTAGGTAGGTAGGTAGGTAGGTAGGTTAGATAGGTAGGTAGGTTAGGTAGGTAGGCAGGTTCGGTAGGTAGGTTAGGTCAGGTTCGGTAGGTTAGATAGGTAGGTTAGGTAGGTAGGTAGGTAGGTTAGATAGGTAGGTTAGGTAGGTAGGTTAGGTAGGTAGGTAGGTAGGTTAGGTCAGGTTCGGTAGGTTAGGTAGGTAGGTAGGCAGGTTAGGTAGGTAGGTAGGTTAGGTAGGTAGGTTAGGTAGGTGGGTAGGCAGGATCGGTAGGTAGGTAGGGTAGGTAGGTTAGGTAGGGTAGGTTCGGTATAGATTAGGTAGGTAGGTTCGGTTGGAAAATATGTAGGTAGGTAGGTTAGGTAGAAAGATATATAGGTAAGCAGACACACAACCAATCTAATATACAGTGGTGTAACTTAACTATTTTATACAACTTGTGATCAGGGCAAGTCAGACATGGAAATTGGTTGAAAATTCACTTGCATATAAGGAAATTTTGAAGGAAATGATTGCAGTAAGGATTGATTAATCAACATTCTAATCTTATGTTTTCCTTAACAAATTCATTTGAACACTTGAAGTGTTGATTTCAACTGATTTACTAATAAAAAATCAAAACAGAATACCAGTAACATAAACAAGCAAATAATTTTGTGTATAGCAATTAATTTCTGGCAAAACGTTAAAACAACTTTCCCGATTGGACAACCAAGGAGCAACTTCTACTTTCCCGTAATGATTTTTACCTTGCCCCGGGCAGGCGCTAAGTTACATTACTGATATAGTTTTCGAGACAACGCCCTAGGCAAACCCCTTACTTCGCTAAACAGCAGACGGCGCCAATCTAGCCAGTGAACTAATATCACAGACATTGAGCTTCTCGTTCAAATCCATTTTGATAATAGCATCACTTCCATCAATCTGAATGAGAGTACCCGTGCTGTCTCGATCATCGCCTTGGATCAACTTCACCTGTCAAAGACATTTATGTGATCTCCGATTAAAATTTTTATGGACTAGAGACCAGTTGTTCTAAACATGGTCGGATTTTGAGGGAGGTGTGCACCTCCCCTGAAATCGTTTTGCACCTCCCCTGAGAATTTTTCCTAGGTTGAAAGGAGAAACAGGGCAGTGTGTAAGGTACTAACCTTATCGAGTTTGGACGGTTGCACGGGCGCAAGGTGCTTGCTGGGAACGCTGACGTCACGTTTTTCATCATACAGATACACAGTGCTCGTTCCACCCACTACATTACGGATAACACCTTTCTTAGAAACCAGCTGAGAATCCTAGAACACATACAATTTTTTTCATGGTTTAATTGAATAATGCGAGCATTTGCACATTGTATCTCGTCTGCCTGGACTGTCCTCTGTAGTGGTCCAGTAAGGTCTTTCCGTTGTTGGTGCAGTGTTGCAACAGACGGAATCCTAAACTAAAGTAACTATATTTATGTTAAATAGCTCTATCAGTTAAGGATCATCTCTTATTGATCCAGTGTTATTACAGGAGGAAACCTACACTAAACTAACTTTATTTATACTGGATAGCTCTATCAGTTCTAAACTGTTCTTCCTAGAGGTCCAGTAAGAATCATCTCTTATTGATCCAGTGTTACTATAGGAGGAAACCTAAACTAAACTAACTTTATTTATACTGGATAGCTCTATCAGTTCTAAACTGTTCTCCTTAGACGTCCAGTATAAGGATCATCTCTTATTGATCCAGTGTTACTACAGGAGGAAACCTAAACTAAACTAACTTCACTTATACTGGATAGCTCTAAGATAGCACTTAGCTCACCCTAGAGGTCCAGTAAGTGTCGTCCCTTATTGGTCCAGTGTTACTACAGAAGGAAACCTAAACTAAACTAACTTCACTTATACTGGATAGCTCTAAGATAGCACTTAGTTCACCCTAAAGGTCCAGTTCGGATCATCTCTTATTGGTCCAGTGTTACTACAGGATGGAACGCAAACTAAACTCACCTGGTATGAATCAGTAATTGTCACTTCAATATCTTGTGTCGTCCACTCATGTGGGGCCTCCACCTCCAGACTTGCCCCGGGGGTGTGGGGGTGGAATGCAGGTGAGATGGGGCTAGGGTTCACACTGCCGGGGGTGGCGGGGTTCGTATATCCAGCCGGGGAGGGAGAGTCCACATATGGGGAGTAGGTGGGTTCGGAGCCATAGATACCGCCAGGTGTACCGGGGGTGTAGGGTGCATTAAATTGTCCGGGGGTCGCTGGGTTAGGTGTACCATAACCCTGAAAAAGAAAACAAATTGAAATCAATTGAAACATGATATTACCCCGTGTGTAACACTTGAACTTCGTCACTTACACCGACAGGCGATGGTGTTGGGACCTCCAGGCTGTAATCAAACTCCGCCTCAGACCTCCCAGGAGTGTTGGCCGAGCTTGGGTCCCAGGCCCCACCATGAAGAGGGGTGCGCGAGCCATCATGAGATGGGGTCATCGAACCATAATGCGGCGTTCTGCTTCCTATTGGAATAAAATACAACCATGGATTGAATAAACTTGCATGTTAGACTAAATTTTAATCTAAGTAAAGAGAAGGGAATCAAACACAACAGTTAAAAAGAACATAATGAAATTAGTAAAATTGCAAAATTTGGTTATGAAATGTTGTAAAATACAGAAAATAAAGCCTTGCGAAGTTTGCATATTTTCAGTATATTTGTATTACGTGCGGAAATTGTTACCATTTTCGGCTCAAAAATGGTAACAATTTCCGCACGTAATACAAACATAGTGAAAATATGCAAACTTCGCAAGGCTATATTTTCTGTATTTTACAACATTTCGTAACCAAATTTTGCAATTTTACTAATTTTAATAAGTTCTTTACGGGAATTTACTTTTTTTGCCTAAATCAAAAATTAGTCTAACATGCAAGTTGTCCTGGATAGCCCAACAAGCCGTTGACAACTTGTCAGCAAGCTGGGAACAAGCAGTGCGAACACATCCTGTTGACAAGTTGTCGGAACAGCATCGCCACAAGTCTGCTGCAGGTTTGTTACAACTTGAACAAGCTTTCATTGGTAGGGATGCAACTACCTGAAAAATATAAGGAGAATTTCGACGTTTCGAGCGAAGGCCCTTCGTCTGGAGTTATTAGCGGAGGTCGGGAAAATTACATGAGCTTTATACTAAGAATATCAAAGCGATCATGTGACAAAAAATAAAGCAATCAGATGGATTTAGTCAAAACAAAGTATAAACAAGAAATGTAAATCACATTATAGAATGTATTAATGCAAATATACAGAAAACTACAGCAAGTACAATATATGAAATAAGTATGGAATAAGGTAAGAATTTCTATTTTTCAAGTAGTTGCATTCCTACCAAC